TTCTCATCTCTAGATCCCCCATTCCATGAAAACTATTGTTCTGCTTTTACTCTTTAAAAATATATCAGAAGACACAAGGTATGTGTTGTGTGGGTGTTCTTTAATCTTCCCCATCCATTTAATTTATTGTAGCTGAGGAAGAGATGTGATGGACCAGGAGCTGCTGCCTACTCCAGGGGCTTTCAGTCCTTCAGCAATAATAAGAAATATTTTGCTGAAAAGGGTGGGACCATCCCTCTGGTTTCCCAGTACTGATTGCACAGCATAATTACAGGTAGGCAGTGAGTAGGTGTGGGAGTTGTGCAGTGGTCATCTCACCACTCCTTGGGGCCTGATGAGGTTTATATCCTGCCACCAGCCTAGGAGAGGCAGGGCTGAGTGGACTTGTGGCTCCTAAGCAGAAGATGGGATTGCGGGAAGTTGGGATGCTCCAGTTGTTGCCAGAGCAGTGCCTTTGGCCCTCAGCTGGTTCCTCTGAAGGGAGAGGGAATGGGGTTGCTCATGCTTAGCCTGACATGATGCCTTGTTCCTGACCGTTTCCCAGGATCTCTTTCAGAGCCACTTCATCAGGATGAACAGTGAGGCTCCACTCAGACTCCTGGACCTGGCATGCCAGAGCCTGCTGAGGTTTGAAGCCTCGGCCTTTGCTGCAGTGGAGTGGCCTGGTTGGGCTCAGCAGCCTGAGCAGTTACAGCTGGGATATAGGAGTGCACAGGGCCACAGGGAGAGCTCAGGGAGGCCTTGGATCCACTTCTGGTGTCATTCTGGGAACAGGCTTCAGATATATAGGGCTGATGAAGATGAGAGGGTGACAAGTAGGACATGAAACCCCCTTCCTAGTGGCACTGAAAGGTACTAGAAATGGGGACCACGAAGGATCCCAGTAGTGCAAGGAGCATCTGATTTCTGGGGTAAGGAGTAAAATTCCCATTCGGGGTCTGGCCCAGCTGCCAAGATTCCCAGATTCATGGCTATGGTCTTATTCCCTGTTATCTTAATATACCCCTGTCTACTTCCTATTTTCTCCACAGAAGGTGGGAAATGCAGATGCTGAATTTACAGAAGGGAGCTCATCAAGAGTTCTGGATTGTGTGGGCCTGAACCAGAGCTGATGTGTGCTCACTGCTGGATACTGAGGCCCCACAGCCCATGAGGAAGTGGAGAAAACTGGATAGCTTAATGGCGGGGCCAAAGCCACCATTGGCTCCCGTAGAGGTGCTAGTAGACTTTTGCCTCAAGAGAGGTGTCCTTGATGAGTCCCTCAGTTACCTTATTAAGAAAGTCAGCGAGAGGAGAAGTTTGAAGAGAGCTGAGTGTTTTCTGACTCAGGAGTCACTTTGCCTGTTCACTTCCTTGTTTTCCATGTTTGCCACCCCCTTTGGCCCGTTCTCCTCCCCGCCTACCACCATCTCCAGATGATGTGTCCCATGTGAGGTGCATCAGGAACTCTTCCAAGGAGACAGGAATGTCCAACTGGAAGCAGAGTAGGGTGACAGCCAAGGCCCAAGTTAGTTTTGCCCCAAGGTCCTGGTCCAAGGACCAATCAGGGAGGTCACTCCATGTCCTGGCACTGGCTCCATAGCATGACACTTGCTCTCCATCACAATGCTTCTTCTTCCAGTTTTTCTACTTAACACCCGGATGGATAACAGTGACGATTTGGCCTAAGAACTCAAAAAGGACATTTCTACTGTAGAAAGACTTAAACTCTTGAAGACCTGTTCCTGGACTCTGGCCCTTTAAGGAGACTATTGTCACAGGCCTGCAGGCCAGGCCTGGGAGCCATGGAAACATAACAATGTTTGGTTTCCTCATCTCTGTTTTATCCTGGCAGTTGCTTCCATTTGTACCTCTGAGATGTCCTCCTCCTGCCTTCTGTACTAGTTGGGTAACCATTGTGCTTTATTTTTTTACCCTAGTTAAGAGATCCCTGAGATTTCTTGGGGTTGGGGAGTGTCACTCTATGTAACTCATTCACTTGCTCAGTGAACAGGTTAACTGTCATCGGTAGTCCTGCTGACAGGTGAATGTAGGCCACCTTTATTTGCCTATCCTTTATGTAAGACTTGTTGTGTTTCAGAGCATGTTTTTATTGATTGTAGAGAGCGAGGAAGGGATAAGGAGAGGGAGATAGAAACATCAATGATGAGAAACACTTATCGGCTGCCTACTGCACTGCTCCTACTCAGAAAAGAGTATCCAACTGACCAGGAATTAAACCTTATCAACAACTGAGACACACCAACCAGGCCCAACATGCCATTTAAAGTGTTCCTTCCACATAATTTGTTGAAGGTTGTGTGGCCTGAAAGAAGATACTTTATAAACAAGGCATCTTCCATGAATATCTGGCCATGAGAAGGAATTTCTGGTAACAGCCTAGAAGATCTCTCCTCCTGTCCCTTCCACTGGGGGCCCCTCAGAATAAAGCCAGAACCCCTCCAAGTTCTCCAAGTACTGGCTTCCATGTTCACTCCTGTTCACCCTTTGTTCATTTCTATTCTTGTATTGCTTGTTAAGGCTACCATTTGTTTTCAACTTGAAATATGCCTGGTAATCTCAGCAGATGCTATCTCATTTTATCTTCCCAGTGTATTTCAGAATGGGCAAAAATAAGATCCTGCTACATACTTATATTTTTTTGTCCTCATTTTGTTTATTTTTAATTTTGTATTATAAATTTTAAATGATTTTTAGAGAGAGAATAGAAACATCTGTCAGCTGCTTCCTGCATGCCCCCTAAAAGGAACCATACTGGCACCTCAAATATGTGCTGTGGCTGAAAAATCAAACCAGCAACTTTTTGGTGCACAGAGCAATGTCTAGTGAGTAAAGCCACACCAACCAGGGATCTTATTTTCATTTTAAATGCAACCCACTATGACCTTTTCCCATGATACTGAGTTCTCTTCTCTAAAGTCTGCTTGGTACTACAGGAAACAAGTTTATGACACAAAATTTTGCAACATATTTGTGTACCCGAGTTAATCCTCCATTGTTTTCTGTTTTTTTTTTTTATACTTTTATTTCAAAAAAATTATGCTCATTTCAAATAACTGAACATTTTTGAACAGCCACAGAGTATTTTAAAAAATCAGCTTGGTCAGTTTGCCTTCCATGGCTGAGCATCGACCTATGAACCAGAGGGTCATAGTTCAATTCCCAGTCAGGGCATATGCCTGGTTTGGGGGCTTGATTCTCATAAGGGATGTTCAGAAGGCATTGCATCCATAATTTTCTCTCTTCATTGATGCATCTCTCTCTCTTTCTCCCTCTCTCTCTCTTTCCCTCTGCCTTTTGCTTTGAAGTGATAGCCTGAGGTCAGGGAGCATAGGAAGCCATTTACACAGGAATGCCCTGGCCACAAAACCTGTCTTCAAAACCAGGCACAAGATAATCACCATGTTTGGGGATTCCTGCTGAGGTAGAAAACTAAAGACAAGCAAGAAACCAGGGATATTATCTCTTTTAAGCTGAGCTGTGTCGACAGGTATATTACCCTTGACACCCACCCACCCACTTTCCTTTGTCTTTCTTCCAAGACTCTGCCCCCTGTTCCATACTTCCATGTCTCTGGATTCACTCCATTCCTCAGCTTGTTTTATTCATTAGATTCCACATTAGAGTGAGATCATGGGATCCTTGTCTTTCTCTGACTAACTTCTTTTGCTTAGCATGATACTTTCCAGGTCCCTCCTTGCTGTTTCAAAGGGTAAGAGATCCTTCTATTTCATAGGTGTCTACTATTCCATTGTGTAATGAAAAACTGCTAAATGTTGGAGAAGGTGTGGAGAAATTCCAACATGAATATAAAAAACTCCCAAAAGGTAGTTTCTACATTCTCTGCAAATTAGCAGCTACTAGGGGAGGCAACTTATTACTTTGTTCAAAGTTAAACACACATACAGTGACAGCATGACCCATGCACAGGTCTCTCTCCTACCTATCTACACTCCAGACATGAGAACATACACCCATGTAGGGTTTTAGACACAAATGTTCACAGCAATGGAATTTGTAAGAGACAAAACTTCAAATGGATCTAACTGTTCCCAAACTGATGAAGGGATAAACAAACTGTGGAGCATCCATGCAATGGAAGATGGCTCTGCCATTGAAAAGAATGATCTGCTCCCAGGAGCTACAATACAGATGAACCTTGACACCATTATGTGAGGTGAAATAGGCTAGACACCAAACATCACACCAGGTGCAACTTGGCTGCACTTGTAAATTTGGTATGGCGTTCCATTGTATGGTTGTAGCATACATTACTTCACCAAACCTTACTTTTGGGTTTGACATGGTTTACCATTGTTCAATGTCACACAGCTCTACTTTGATGACCATATCTATCATAAAATATCTGTCCCTAATCTTAGTTGGGTCTTTCCACAAATGCCCAAAAATGGAACTTCCTGTTTGAAAGTTTGAACATATCTTGGTTGATTTTTGAGACAGGAAGGGGAAAGAGAGAGAGGAGAGGAAGAAAGAAGGGAGGGAGGAACATTGACTTGGTATTCCAGTGACTGATGCATTCATTGGTTGCTTATTGTATGTTCATTGACCAGGGATCGAACTAGCCATTTTGGCTTGTTGGGAAGACACTCTAACCACTTAGGAATACTGCAAGGTGAAAGTCTGCATATTTGAAGGCTTTCAGTAAAAATTCCCCAAGGACCCTTCCCCAGCAGAGCATGGTGGTCAAGTGTCTCCATTCTGGAATTTGGAATTCCCCTCACCAATATAGCCCCGCTGATCCCCGGGGGCCAGTTCCAAGATGGTTTGTCCCATGCTAATGATGCTCTATATTGGTTTACAGCTCCCTGGGATACATGGCCAAGGCCTCGCTGATCCACAGTGCCAACTGCCAAGTAGCGGGCTTCATTGTCACCACCATAGGATGGATCTTCTCCATGACTTGCATGGGCCTGGCCGAGTAGCGCATTTGGTACATGGAGAGCACCTCCGCCCCCTCCCCAGGGCTGGCCTGTGTAGGGATGTGGAAGGTCTGCACTTATCAGTCCAACAACCTCCAGAGCAGAGCCATAGCGTGTCACCGCTACACCTACAGTGACAGCTACCTGCCCCTCAATATCCGCATCACTCAGCACCTGCTGCTGGCTGCCAACCTCCTGGCTCTCTTGGGGAAAGTGCTCACCATCATGGGTCTGCAGAGAGTGTGTGTGGCTCATCTTCAGAAGGAAAACACCTGCAATCTCTTCTTAGCTTCCGGAGCCGTGAGCATCATAGTTGGGGTATTTATCTTCATTGTTGTGATCTGGAACTATCATGCTGTGATGAATGAAGACGGCATACACTTCCCACCATCCTTCTACATGCCCTTCAGGCCCCACCAGCAGGAGATTGGCAGCACAGTCCCCGTGGCAGTTCTGGCTGCCATCCTGATACTGCTGAGTGGGCTGTTTACCCTGTCTTACCAGCTTCTCCCTGGACAGCCAAGTGTACCTGAGGCCTCAGAAGTGTGAAATTCCGAGTTGCATAGCTTTGCAAATCCACAAAGGGGAGTTTATGGGCGTGCAGTATTATCAGGATGCTCTAGGAAATAGTTCCAAGAGCTCACAAAGCCATCTTGAGCAGAAAGTGGGCATTTGCTGTATGTCCAAATTGGGCTCATTGATTGGTTAATGAACTTTATTAAATTTTTTTTTTCCAAACCAACCACTGTCCAGCCATCATTATTGTTATTGGGTAAAGAAGGGTCTTGTTGCAGAAAAATTTCTGCACAGCGGTGGGCTCTTCAGTTCAACCTGCATCCTCTCCAATCCTGGAGTTTCTGTCTTTGAAATCATATGAGGGAATTGGCTGAGACCCACAACCCTGTTTGATTTGTTTCTCACCGCTAAATAGAGGTTTGTGTTTTTTGTTTGTTTGTTTGCTTGTTTTTCTATTGGTGGAGATTTCCCAAAAGTGGAAGAGTATCTTTCCTTTAACATTACCTCACGACTGTGACTCGACTTAAGTCTCTCACCTTTCCTTTTTCTGGATTCCCCTAATCACAACAGTAACTTGTTCTAGGCTCACTTTGCTCTAGTGTTTTGGAGATCCCACAATGTGTCTGCCATCAAACTATGAATCCCAGAATCCCTTGTGCTCTCATGTTCTTGGTTTCCTCTTCTGATCCTTGGGATGCACAAACCAAAAGACTGTCAAAGCCAGCCACCTCCACGCAGGGCTCACAGGACCAGGTGATCCAGTGAAGTCTCCTTGACACAGGAAGCTTGGCATCTTAACCCGCCCTTGGCTGTTCTGGGCCTGTGTGTGTAGGCCCAGAGCACTTGTGAAAGTGGAATGCACACCACATCCCACCAAAGTTGCCATGGACATCATGACCTGCTCTCCTTGGTGGCTGTGCATATGCCTGCTGCCCACAGGCTCAACATCTTTGTCAGGTTAATTTGCATACTCTTCCCTGATTGCTGTGGGCTTCAAGGAGGTATGCTCAATTTACATGTTTTCTATTATTATTGTAACTGATGTTATGCACCTGCTGTGTGAAAATGAGAATTGCTGGGATTCTCACAGCTTCCCCTCAACCTCCCACTAGAAGCAAAAACCTAACCTATTTCATGGCACTAACACTTCTCCACCTGTACATGAAATTTGCACTCAGGTGCAAAAGCAGAATAGTGGAAGGAATTCCCCTTTCATTACCAGACACAGCAATTATGATTCTGCCATTTTTATTTTTCCTCTTTCTTCCCTTCTTGTTATCGATTTCTCATTCTCAGAAGTATCTTGGGCAAACCCCAGACATCACAATTCTTCACCCTGATATACTTCAAAACTATTTTCTAAAAATTGGAAATTACCTTGCATTTCCAGAACCATAGTATGCCTTTAAAGTTAACAACTTTTTGTTGTTCTTATCAAAGGCTTCTTAGAATTTTGAAAGCTTAAAAATAATTTTACAGCTCTAGCTGGTTCTTTTCAATATATGAGTTTCGGCCTGCAGATTGAAAGTTCCTGGGTTCAATTCCAGGCAAGGGCACATACTCAGGTTGTTGGCTCAATGCCCATTGGGGGCATGCAGAAGGAAATCTACCAATTATTTTCTTTCATCATTGGTGTTTCTATCTCTCTCTCCCTCTCCACTCCTCTCTGAATTAAAGTTGTATTTTTTTAAATGAGCATACAATTTTCTTCCATAAGTCTTACCCATTCACTCTTCTCCTTAAGGCTCAATTTTAAGCACTCCCCCTTCCACACCTTTGCTATTTTCCTAAAAAAAATTTTTGATTTGCTAAAGAAAAGGAACCAATTTTTCCATTTTTTAAAATTGCTCCCAATCCCTTAAAGCTTAATTAGATTCCCAGTCAGCATAGGTCTAGTTTCTACAAATCTAAGTAACTGCGCACAGAACCACGACCAATAGTTATATCCTATTTATCTGCTTCATGGGTGGTCCAACTCACTCCCTGGGTAAGTTATAAGCCCCCCTCCTCCCCTACTAACATCCTCATCTCATTACATTCTAAAATCATGTTTATAGGCCTGTCAGGAGAGACAACAACTTCAGTTCTCTCACAGACTGATGTCTACTTTAGCTAATATTCACTAGATAAAGTGCCTCTAAAACATGCAGTCAAGAATATGGAGACATAACATACACCTGACCCACACCCTCTTTTCCAATGCTTAGAGCTCCACAGAAATTTCAAGGGACTCAATTAAAACTCAACCATTAACTGGGGAAGGTCTTTAGTAGGTTTAAATTGAGATGGACTCACTTCAATGTGAGAGCTACAGGACTGACATGAAATGGTTTTCTTCTTAAACAGTACTTAAGTCTCTGAGAACAGAGTGTCTGACAAAATTTCCCCCTTGGTTTTAGTGTAACAGCTATTTAAACATGTGTTCCAAGGGCATTGCCTGCGGACCCTGGAATATTCAATGGATCCTTTGGGTGTGGGCAAGGGATTTTTCCCTGTTCTCTCTGATAGAATAAGTGTAAAGAGGTAGTAGCATGTCGAAAGCAGTTAGGCTCAGTGGATAGAGCACCGACCTTCAGACTGAAAGGTTCCAGGTTGGATTCTGGTCAAGGGCATGTATTTTGATTGTGGGCACATTCCCAGTAGGGGGTGTGCAAGAAGGCGGCTGGTTGATGTTTTTCTCTCATCGACATTTCTAGCTCTCTCTCTCTCCCTTCCTCTCTGTAAAAAAATAAAATAAAATATGTTTAAAAAATAAGTTGAAACATTCTTTAGGAAATGCCCCCGCTATGCCTGCTATGATTTGCACAATGTCCTTAGAACTGGGTGGAAGTTACTCCTCTGCATTGCACAACCCTGGTCGGCATCCCAGGGATTTGAAAGGAGCCTCTTGGTCCCATGGAACATTTAGGACTGGCCTTGGACCAAGTCTTACCCATTCTCGTGGCAGCTGTGCAATGGCTGGTAAATGGTTCCTAGGCAAATACCATGTTCTCACCCCCCCCATGAAATCTGTCAATGAAGTAGGTCTCATTAACAGACTGACAGGACATATAAGTTTTAAACTGGACTTGTGTTATTCAAGTGAATCATATCTCGGGATATTTGAAAAAGGAAGCTCTTGGGAGACTTATTTCTGAATTCTATTTATTGCCCAAATAGCTTTCTTCACCATTTCATTGCACTGATAAATGACTTACAATTTGGTGCTTTGCATGATTCTCAGTGATTTCTTTATATATATGATTTTTTACAGAGAGAGGGATAGAAATCTAGAAACATCGATGAGAGAGAGACATCGATCAGCTGCCTCTTGCACACCCCCTACTGGGGATATGCCCGCAACCAAGGTACATGCCCTTGACAGGAATTGAACCCAGGACCCTTCAGTCCCCAAGCAGATGCTCTATCCATTGAGTTAAACCGGTCTCAGCTCTCAGTGATTTTTTAGTCTGGTGTAAAGGGTGCTTTCTGCTCTTTATAGAGGGTTTTCCCTCATTGTAAAAATCCTTTCTTACTCTTTCCTCACAGTGAGAAATGATGTACACCTTTTCCCCAACTATTTTGTGTAAGTTACTGCTGCATCTTAGTGAACACAGAGTGGTTTCTTTCAATATATAGTATGCACACTACTTTATTTCATGGATATCTGTATATTTTACTAACATTTTTTCTACATTCTTTCCTCACTTAGAAGTGTAGATAATTTATTTTTCTACAGTTTTTATGACTGTGTTATATTATGCTTCCTGCTGTATTTAAAAATTTCCAGGCCATGTCCAAAATCTTTATTCACCATTTCCTGAGTTAAATTGATGAGTTAAAATTCTTTTCCAACTATTTCCTATAGTTTACTGCTGCTTTGTATTATTCTCAATGGATTTTTACACTGCAGAACAGTGTGCCTTCTGCTCTTTACACTGGATTTTCTCACACTAACTGTACCAACTTCTTTCTTCCCTCTGTGCTCACATTGAGAAAGGATTTACACTTGTTTTCCAAAGCTTTGCATAGTTTACTGTTGCTTTTCCATGAGTACTTCGAGGTTTCTAACTCTGATTTCTGCTCTCTTTCCTGGATATCACCAAACTGTACAAACACATTTCCATTTTCTTTCCACATACAGTGATATGATTTTTATTTGTTGTCCAATAAGCTTGTATAAATAACTGCTGCTTTTCAGTGAATTCTCATTGATTTCCAACTCTGTGTCATGGTACACACACTGCTAGTTTTTTTGGTGTGTGTGTGTGTGTGTGTGTGTATGTGTGTGTATGTGTATGTGTGTGTGTTTATTCAATCACCTTGTACAAACACCCTTTAGACTCTTTCCTCACATTTCTAAGTGAATTTACTTGTCTTCTCTCTATTAGGTATACGTCACTGCTGATTTTTAGAGAACACCTAGGGCTTCTAACATTGTTATGTAGTGTGGTTACAGCTTTTACTTGATTCTCCCACATTGTATAAATACCTTTCTTCATGCTTTTGTAACAGTGAGGAAGGTGTACATTTGTTGTCCAAAGATTTTGTATTGTTTACTGCTGTGTTTCTGTCAATAAAGAGTGGTTTCTATCACAGTTATAGTATGCTTTCTATTCCACCGCTGGGACATTCCACATATTCCAAACTCCTTTAATATGTTTTTTTCCTCACATAGAGAATTTAGTTTTGTTTTCTAACCATTGGTTTAAGAATGTAAACTTGTTTTCAAAGTATTTCCTACAGTTTACTGCAGCTTTTGGTAATTCTGGGTGATTTCTTATAGAGATTGCAGCTGTTGTTCACTGATTCCAAAACACTTTCGAAAGTGTGCTCAAATGTGTGTAATTGCATTTCAGCACTGATTTCTCCTTATGCTCCAAAACTGTTCTAGAGTCTTTTCTCATTTTCAAAAGAGATTTTCACTTGTTTTCTAACTATTTTTCATTTACTGCTGCTTTTGAGTGAATTCTCTTAGGTTTCTATTACTATGCTGTATTTGCATATTCCTCTTTTCCATTATTTCACCTACTTTTATATTCAACTTTCTGGAC